TGCTACTGCTGCACTTGCTGCTGCTGCTGCAGGTGACGTAGTAACACTACATGTACCCTTAATAGAGAGTACAAAGAACATGATAAGCAAAGAGACTATTCATCTTATGAAGCCAGGAGCTATTCTTATTAATACTAGTAGAGGTACTCCTGCTGCTACTGCTGCTGCTGCTGCTGCTGCTGCTGCTGGTAGCACTAGCTAGCTAGCTAGCTAGTGCTAACAGTTAACAACAGAACATATAACCCTTTATCCCTCTTGCTGCTGCTGCTGCTGCATATATATACTGCTGCACTTGCTGCTGCTGCACTTGCTGCTGCTGCACTTGCTGCTGCTGCACTTGCTGCTGCACTTGCTGCTGCTGCACTTGCTGCTGCTGCTGGTGCTGCAGGTGGTGTAGTAGATGAGGAAGCATTAGCTACAGCATTAATAGAGGGAAGAATAAGAGGAGGAGGATTAGATGTATACAAAGAAGAGACAAATAAAAAAGGAGACAATCCTCTTATTATTGCTAAACATAAAGGAGCTAATCTTATATTAACACCACATATTGGTCTGTCTACTGCTGCTCCTGCTGCTCCTGCTGCTGTTGTTGCTGCTGCTGCTGTTGTTGCTGCTGTTGCATCACGCTCCTTGTCTTTATTGCCCCTTTTGTCTCCTTTTTTGCCTCCCTTTTCTCTTTCTTATTTATTCAACTTCCTCTTATCTTCTACTAAACCCTAAACCCTAAACCCTAAACCCTAAACCCTAATTTGTTATTTCTGTATAGGTGCAAGTACTCATGAGGCTCAAGTAAATGTTTCTGTAGATGTTGCCATGCAAATAGAACAAGTACTATTAGGACATTTACCTACTGCTGCTGTTAATCTACCCGTAAGCAGCAGCAGCAGCAGCAGCAGCAGCAGCAGCAGCAGCAGCAGCAGCAGCAACTGCAGCAGCAGTGGGAGGAGAGAGGACGGATGTGTAGTAGTAATAGCAGTATAAGGCAGCAACGAATTATGCAGATCAGCAACAGCAGCAGCAGCAGCAGCTGCTGCTGCAACAGCAGCAGGATTTGCTACATTATATGCATGCATGCATGCATGCGTCTGCCTGCATGCATGCATGCATGCATGCAGGTCTGTGTAAATTTGCTGCTGCAGAGTGTACGAATAAATGATATGGGAAGATTTGCATCAAATATTCATCATGCAGAAATACTAGGTAAGCTGTATATACACCTCAATTTGCATGCATGCATGCATGCATGCATGCATGCATGCATGGATATTATTATTACTATATTAATATATAGTAATAATATATTAATATTATTAATGCTAGATATAATGCTAATATTATTATTAACATACAACAGACACAAAATGCATGCAACACACTAAAAAAACCCTAAACCCTAAACCCTAAACCCTAAACCCTAAACCCTGGATATATATTTATGCTGCAGGCCGTTTAGCTAGTCAATTATTAACACAACCAATGGAGAGTCTAAGCCTGAGGGTTTCTGGAGACATTGAGGGCGAACAATTAGAGGTCTTATTATTAGCTGTTGCCCAGGTAAACCCTAAACCCTAAACCCTAAACCCTAAACCCTAAACCCTAAATATTTTTGTTTGTATCTAACCAAATAGATAAATAAATTAGTCAAATAAACCCTAATAAAAATATGAATAAAATAAGTAATAAAGAATACAAAATTAACTAATAAATAATTAAATAAATAAATAAAATAAAATAAATATATAATTTTTTTTCTTCTTATACAGGGAGCTCTTGCTACTCATTGCCAGCATCGAGTCAATTTCGTCAACGTTAGACAACTCGCTGCACAACATCAAATCAAACTCGCCGTAGAAAAAGGTCTAATTATTGCTGCTGCTGCTGCTGCTGCTGCTGCTGCTGCTGTTGCTGCTGTTGCTGCTGTTGGGGGTGTTGGTGATGGTGGGTGCTGCTGTTGGTGCTGATTGTGTTGCTGCTGCTGCTAGTGTTTCTGCTACTAATATTGCTGCTACTTTTACTAATATTGCTGCACTTGCTGCTACTGTTGCTGCTGTTGCTGTTGCTGCTGCTGTTGCTGCTGCTTCTGTTGTTGCTGTTGCTGCTGCAGCATATGGTGAATGTAGTTCATTATATTTAGAGGTGTCTGTACACTCCAATAAAGAAGAAGGAATAATAAGTATTTGTATAACAAAAGATAATAATTTTATTATAAAAAAAATAAATAATATACCTATACAATTCTGTATGCCTATTATACACCCTAATTATTATCATCATGCTCCTCCTCCTGCTGCTGCTGATGCTGCTGCTGCTGCTGCAGCAGCAGCAGGAAGAAGTCCACTAGCAGCAGGAGGAGGTGCAGCAGAAGCAGCAGCAGCAGCAGCAGCAGCAGAGAAGAGCAAGAGAGATGCTAATGGTGATGGTAATGGTAAAGCTGCTACTGAGGCAGCAGCAGCAAGCAGCAGCAACAGCAGCAACAGCAGCAACAGCAGCAGCAACAGCTGCTGCGCACCTATTTATCTCTTCTATACTCTCCATGTGTAAGTCATACAATCAGACACAGCAGCAGCAGCAGCAGCAACAGCAGCAGCAGCAGCAGCAGCAGCAGCAGCAGCAGCAGCAGCAGCAGCAGCAACTTTTTATTGTCTCCTTTCTTTTTTATAAAAAAAAAAGTGTCTCCTTTTTATTGTTTCCTTTTTTATTATTGTCTCCTTTTTTTCCCTTAATTGTCTCCTTTTTGTCTCCTTTTTTTCCCTTAATTGTCTCCTTTTTGTCTCCTTTTTTTCCCTTAATTGTCTCCTTTTTTCCCCTTAATTGTCTCCTTTTTGTCTCCTTTTTTTCCCTTAGTTGTCTCCTTGTTGTCTCCTTGTTGTCTCCTTGTTGTCTCCTTGTTGTCTCCTCTTTTTTCCTTAATTGTCTCCTTTTTGTCTCCTTTTTGTCTCCTTTTTTTCTTAATTGTCTCCTTGCTGTCTCCTTTTTGTTTCTTTTTTCCCTTAATTGTCTCCTTTTTGTCTCCTCTTTTTTCCTTAATTGTCTCCTTGTTGTGTCCTTGTTGTCTCCTTGTTGTCTCCTTGTTGTCTCCTCTTTTTTCCTTAATTGTCTCCTTGTTGTCTCCTTGTTGTCTCTTTTTTTTTTTCCTTAATAGGGATAAGCCTGGTGTATTAGCATCAATATTAAGTCTCCTTAGCCAAGAAAATATAAATGTAGCTAATTGTCATCTAGGTCGTCTCCCTGCTGCTGCTGCTGCTGCTGCTGCTGCTGCTGCTGCTGCTGCTGCTGCTGCACATACTACACCTACTACACCATCAGCAGCACCGCAAGAAGCACCATCATTAGCATCAGGAGGAGCAGCACCATCAGCACAATCATCAGCAGCAGCAAGAGGAGCAGCAGCAGCAGCAACAGCAGCAAATAAAGAAGTATTAGGACTATGTATATTTCATACAGATAATAAGGTAGAGGAACAAATCATAAAAAAAATAAAAAAATTTATTTTTATAAAAGATGTTAAAATATTTGCTACTCCTACTATATTAGGACAACAATTATATCTGCAGCAGCAGCAGCAGCAGCAGCAGCAGCAGCAGCAGTAGTAGTAGTAGTAATAGTAGTAGTAGGAGGAGGAGGAGGAGGTGGTGGTGGTAATAAGCAGCAGCAGAAGCAGCAGATTGCTGCGGTGGTTGGGGATGTAAAGGTGCACAGAAGCAGCAGCAGCAGCAGCAGCAGCAAATGCAGCAGCAGCAGCAAATACAGCAGCAGCAACAGCAAATGCAGCAGCAGCAGCAACAACAACCGCAGAAAGTGCAGCAGATGTATAACATAATATTTTATTTATTTATTTATTTATTTATTTATTTATTTTTTTTTTTTTTTTGTCATTAAAATTATAAACAAAAATAAATGCAAATATTAATTAGCATCCAAACCCTAAACCCTAAACCCTAAACCCTAAACCCTAAACCCTAGACAGGAAACCCTAAACCCTAAACCCTAGATCCTAGATTCTAAACTTTACACCCTATATCGTAAACCCTAGACACTAAACCCTAAACCCTAAACCCTAAACCCTTGCAGGAGGCCATCCCTGCATAGAATAACCCCTTATCCAAAGCCCCAATCATATACATGCAAGTGTGAATGCATGCATTGTGCATGCATGCATGCATGCAAAAAAAAAAAATAAATATTATAGATTGTTCGTTCCTTTTTATAGGGTTTATTAGCATAAACAAATATATTTTATCTTTTAATTAATTTAATTAAATTAATTTAATTAAATTAATTAATTAAATTAATTAAATTAATTAATTAATTTAATTAATTTAATTTAATTTAATTAATGCAGCAGCAGCAGAGCAGCAAAGAGAGCAGATATCACCAACGCGACGGGGGGGGCCCCCTCGTAGAGGGGCCCCTGTCTGAGGGGGGCCCCCCATGACTAGATACTCAGCAGCTATAAACCCTTTTTTATATTTAATTAATTAATTAATCAATTTATTTATTTATTTATTTATTTATTAAATAAATAAATAAATAAAAACCCTTAAAATGAGGGAGAGGGGAGGGGAGGAGCTGCAGGCAGAGCAGCGATGAGCAAACCCTAAACCCTAAACCCTAAACCCTAATCCCTCAATGAAAAGACATTGCTGTCGATACACCTCACAGCAGGAGCAGCAATGGCTGCTGCCGCAGCTGCGGCTGCTGCTGCTGTTGCTCCAGTTCCTGCTGCTGGGTCTTGCCCTGTCTTCAGTTGCTATACCTCCTACTGCAGCAGCAGCAGCAGCAACTGCTGCTGCTGCTCCTCCTCCTCCTGCTGCAGGCCACACATTGTTAGGACCCGAAGGGATATTGATGCTGCAGCGATCCCCTTGCGGGTGTCCCTTTGCTGCAGCAGCAGCAGCAACGACAGCGGCAAAGACAACAGCAGCACGAGCAGCAACAGCAGCAGCAGCAGCAGGTTCCCATCCATCTGCTGATGTATTACGGAGGGGTAGGCATTCAAAATGGCTCGCTGCAGGTATTCTCCCCTGCAGCAGCAACAGCAGCAGCAGCAACAGCAGCAGCAGCAACAGCAGCAGCAGCAGCAACAGCAGCAGGCGACTTGGATTCCTTCAACGGATTCCTGAGATAAGATCAACAATTCCTCGTGCTGCTGCTGCTTCTGCTGCTGCTGCTGCTGGAGGTTACTGCCGCCTCAGCGCTACCGGCGTATTGAATACAGGCGACACTCCGCAGCAGCAGCAACAGCAGCAGCAGCAGCAGCCGCAGCAGCAGCAGCAGCAGCAGGAGCGTTATGAGGATCGTTATAGGAAGTTAATATATAGTGAGGGTACAGAAGAAGAGCAGCAGCAGCTATGGTGTGAGCTGCAGCAGCAGCAGCAGCAGCAGCTAAGTACAATAGGATTAATAGGTATACGTAGTGGTTCTTTATCTGCAGCAGCAGCAGCAGCAGCAGAAGCAGCAATAACAGCAGGAGGAGAGCAGCAAAAAAAAAAAGGATATAATATACAAGACATAGATATTATTTCTTCTTTTCCTCCTGGTCTACCTCCTCTACCTCCTGAATCACAGCAGCAGCAGCAGCAGCTGCAGCAGCAGCAGCAGCAGCAGCGCCAGCAGCAGCTAATTGACGAATTAAAAAGAGGAGAGAGGCAGCACATCGTACCCAAGGGAATGTTAACAAGAATGAATCTACAACAATTATGTAAGGCAGCTAGCTAGCTAGCCAGCTAGCTAGCTAGCTAGCCAGCTAGCTAGCTAGATGAGTAGCTAGCTAAGTAGCTAGCTAGCTAGCTAGGTAGATGAGTAGCTAGCTAAGTAGCTAGCTAAGTAGCTAGCTAGCTAGCTAGCTAGATGAGTAGGTAGATAAGTAGCTAGCTAGCTAGCTAGGTAGCTAGGTATGCAGCTAGCTAGGTAGCTAGATATGTAGCTAGCTAGGTAGCTAGGTAGGTATGTAGATAAGTAGCTAGCTAGGTATATGGCTAGGTAGCTAGCTAGCTAGCTACCTAGCTACCTAGCCATATACGTGTGGGCTAGCTAGCTGTTTCTTAGGTACCTGTTGGTTATCTAATTAGCTAGCTAGCTGGCCAACTAGGTATACGCTGCTGCTGCTGCTGCTGCTGCAGTTTGCTTTGCCGCTGCT